CCACAGTATCTATTCAAAGCCCAACGATAATAAGAGGCAAAAGGTATATTAACCACAGGAGTCTACTAGGAGGTCTGCGGATGTATGTTCTAAAATAGTAACGTAGGAAAGTCCTGTACTCTTTCCATATGATTGATTGATTGATTGATTGATTGATCTTATACCTGTTGCAGCTCGCCCTAGACGTATTGGCAGCTATGTAGGTCGGTGTGCCCTGCCTGGCACCGCAGGCCCCTCTAATGATACTCCTATATATAAAGTAAATTGCTAATAATAATTGGATAAGACCTAGTACTTTTTAAAGCAGCCGAACGCCTACTTTGTTCCGTGGCTATATAGCCGTGTATATTGTTTCGTGGCCTAGGGGCGCCCCCTAGAACTCAGACCTTAATATGTTACAGCTAATATCATAGTTACCCTAGGGTCCACTATCCAGGTCCTAGCCGAGTTAACCACGGCTAGGCTTTCTTCGGTGGGTACCTTAGAAGTAGAATTTGTGCCGGTAACAGGATTTAAGCCCGTAGCCTCTAGAGAATTAAGATAGGTCCCTAACTAACTTGGTATCTAAGGAGCCTGCCTGGTGACGCATCTACCGTTGCGCTACCTACCGGCTACTCTTTCCATTTACAGCCCGAAAAATTCTCTCGCCCCGTACTTATCATCCCTACAGACAGGTATCATTAATACACTTCCGAATCTTCCTGACCAGCATCTTCGACGGCGCCAACCGAGCCGCCCGGCCCCCGATCGAACCCATCCCGTCCGGCATGGCAGGTCCGCGCCCACTACGGGCCTCCTGCTGCGCCAGGGCCTCTAGAATAGACATATAGGTCCCGGGAGCGGACAGGACATGCCCTGCGCCTGTCAACAGGATCTCGACGCCGCGGTCGATGCGCTCGAGCAGATCGCAGCTCAGCTGTAGGAGCGTTGTGATCTGCTGCACGCCGTCGAGTTTCAGCGTCGGCCCGCCCAAGTGCACGTTGGAGAAGGGGGCCGAGCCCGAGAAATTGTCCAGCACGGCGAGTGGGCCCGTCAGATCGCCGACGGGCGTGTATTGTGCGACTAAGGACCGGACGGTAGCGTATAGGTCGGTGAGAACGCTGCGGTGCAGACGGATGAAAAGCACGTGGCAGGTTGTGAGGGTCAGACAGATGGGGAATTGGGTCTGGCACTCGGGTTGGAGGGCTGGGTGTGATCTTTGAAGTTTTTTGTAGGGTTGGCTGTTGTTGCTGCTGCTGCTGCTCTTCTCCGGGCGTCCTCCAGACCAGGCTCGATTGCGCCCTGTACTGAATCTGGCAGGGGATGCGGTTGCCGGATTATCTAGGGTTGGTAGGGTAAACCAGGATGAGGTGTCGTGAGTTGAGGCTGAAGACGGGCGATAGTTGCTATGATACATGAGGTCGTTCTCGTCGTCCTCGTCGTCCGAATCCCGGGACCAGTCGGTGGCGGCTTGGTCTCGGGTTGGAATGCTGCAGACGTTTTCGCGGTAGGAGGTGACGAAGGATTGGATGATTTCGAGGAAGGTTTGTGAGCAGCGCATCATCTGGTGCATTGGATGGTCACTCTGAGTGTTTGTAATGTCGGACAAGCGCGAGCTGAGAGGGTGCGTGTCGGGTGAGGAACCATTGGTGAAGGCCGCCTGACTTTCGATGTGATATACGTGTTCCAGGAGTGTGCTATGGAGCTTCCACATGCGCTCGATATTCTGCTCCTTAGGGCTGACGGCTGGGAAGTCGGTCAGGCCAACTGCGTTGGACTGTGAGCCCGCGGCCAGATCGGCGAAATCAGATGTGTCGAATACATTCAAGTTTGGAAAACCGAAATCATAGGCCATAGTTGCCTGGTCGAAGTTCAGATCTGGCAGCTCATTCATCGCATCCATTCCGGCCATGGCGAGGTCGGGCGGACAGGAGGGCGGGTCGGAAGAGTCCGCTCTGGTATCGTTAGATCGCATTTCATCGGACTTCTTGCTCGATGTTCGGCGATAACGAGGTTTATGGTTCAGAGAACGTGGTCGACCCATAGGCATGGGAGCGCCGATAACACAAGTCAAGTTATTTCGAGCGCAGCGATCGCACGCGACCGAAGGATCGGTGTGTGTCGTCCGATCACAGCGGAGCTTCTGACTGCGACACCGATCACAGGCGTGGCGGCGGACTGGATTGGGGTTCCGACTTCCAGCATCCAAATCAGCTTGTGGTGTAAGGGGGTTCATTTTCAGTCGTGGTAAAGTTTGATGGAAATTGGATGGATTGACGGGCTGATTTAGAGTCTGAAATAAGCCATGGGGAGGAAGTGAGGAGGCTGAGATCTGCCTTACGACTAGGTATGATCTAGTGGTTTTACTAGTACTGGCCACTTAGCAGTCTAACCTCGATTATTATTGGAGTCCGAATATGTGCGGCGTAATTGTCAGACTGCGGTCCGTTGCCTTTATCACTGCGCTACAGGCCAAAAAGGCACAATGAATGACCACCAGGCCATTCAGGCGCACCCGCAGGCGATACGTTACGTCGCCGATTTCATGCAACGAACAGGCCTCCTACAGCAATTCCGATTCGCCAAATTTAACGACGAGGAGGAAGAAGAGGTCCCGGAACCCAGCACCCTCCTAGAGGGACTCGATCTAAACGAGGAAGACGATAGTTACATAGAACGCTAAGAGCCAGGGAGTCTCAACTGGCTATACGACGCACACATGCAGGAATACTACAAATAGAACGGAGTGGAAGGAGAGAACAGCGCCTAGGAGCGCAGTAGGCACGCAGCAGGCGTGTGGAAGCCGGTTTAGTTGTGTTACTTTTTGATTTCCTTTGTCTACTGCTTTGAGGGTTTATATGGCGTATGGGCTCGAAATTCTGCTTTAGTCGGTGAAACGCCTGCATAGCCTGCCGTTTCAATAGATAGGCTCCACCAGGTTAATAAAATTTTGATTGATTGATTGATTGATTGATTGAGGCCATTCAGGCAACGGTCTTGTATAGTTCCAACCTGTTACTGCCCACCACCCGGTTGGTGTCCTACCAACGCTGGTTGGGTCCGTAACAGTAATTCCCAATGGTAGTGCTACTTTGGCGCAATCTACTACGGAGTATACCTAAACTCCGAGTTAAGGTGACTGACCGTCATGAATACTACCTAATACTAGGTATATATACGGTATCCCAGGGGGTCTATTAGGAGCCTTTTATCACGTAAGACGGCGCATCGCATAAGATAACGTGGCCACAGGGAAAGTCCCTGCATCCATGCAGCTTTGCTCCTCCGAGTCATGTATGGACAGTATCACTCTCCCTGTGAGATTATCAGCCAGGAAGCCTCGCCCGATCGCACACCTCGTCATCACTATCCACCACCGCAAGACACCACCGCCGACAATAACGTGCCAACGACCTAGTCGTAGCCCCTGTCGGAACTCGTCGCATCTTTAGTCGCACTGTATGGTGTCATACTTGCCCTATATTCTATAGATAAAGCTGTATCCCAAAAGATAACCTAGAATCTTTTGCTACCTATAGTAAAGATGCACATGGGCGTCGGTGCCAGTTACTTCCCCTCCTTGGATATGGACCTGGATATGGATATGTGGATCGTAGAGATATCGGATTAACCGCAATGACCGGCTCAGAAACGGACGCGATTGGCCATCTTGCGTTGGGCTCAGGGCTCTCGCCCCCATCTACCACGAGTGAGACATAAATGAATCGAGGGGTTGCGCGTATCGAGCCCGAAACGAGCCACCGAAGACCTTCGGAAGACGCCCAAGGGCGGCCATTGTGCCATACCAATCATACGGTGGCCTTGTCCCGTCCCTCGCCACTACGTATTATTATTGGCCGTTGAAGCAGGAGGCTAAGACGTTGGACAGGGAACAAGCCAACGGTTTCCTGCCTTGTTACCTTGTTTTGATGCTTCCTTTTTTTCCCTTCCGCCCTTTCGTGTTGACTTGTCGCTCGACATGTGCCAAACCTGATGCTCTTAGACGTCGAACAGTCTAGAACCACCTGAATGAGCTTTTTCTGTGGTTTGGGATTAAACCCATTCTAGTCAAGTGAAGTGGACGCCGTAGAGATGCTACAAAGCCTGGTACTCTTTAAGAATAGTCTGCTTTGATTGTCTGCCCCACTGCTAAAACACGAATGGCGATCTTGGGAGATATTGCAAACGGAGGGTCCTTCAGTACTTCTGGAATTACGACCAACAGAAAAGTTACTATTTTAGCCCCAAATCCATTCGGCCGTAGGGTAGTATTGACCACAAGGATTATCAAGAAATTAAACTAGGATCTGTGACCCGCGATTACCAGCAATCAGTACTCCACTCATAAAATTTCCCCAATCTGATTCGAGATAATTGTTGTCTGTGCGTATTGACCCCGCTCAGAGGTTGCTCTTAACTCTTAGCGCTTACGCCGAGTCCTTGTGCAATTTGTCTTTTGTACCCGGATTTTATCGGTCGGAAAACCAGTATCCAAGGCTGGTACTCCGTACTCTTGTTTCAAACCGACCCGGATCTGCTATATGAGGCGTTGTAGAATTTTGCGCTGATCCAATCCATCAATCAATCAATCAATCAATCAATCAATCAATCAATCAATCAATCAAAATTCTATTAACCTGATGGAGCCTATCTATTGAAACGGCAGGCTATGCAGGCGTTTCACCGACTAAAGCAGAATTTCGAGCCCATACGCCATATAAACCCTCAAAGCAGTAGACAAAGGAAATCAAAAAGTAATACAACTAAACCGGCTTCCACACGCCTGCTGCGTGTTTACTGCGTTCCTAGGCGCTGTTCTCTCCTTCCACTCCGTTCTATTTGTAGTATTCCTACATGTGTGCGTCGTATAGCTAGTTGAGACTCCCTGGCCCTTAGCGTTCTGTATAACTATCGTTTTCCTCGTTGAGATCGAGTCTCTCTAGGAGGGTGCTGGGTTCCGGGACCTCCTCTTCCTCCTCGTCATTAAATGTGGCGAATCGGAATTGCTGTAGAAGGCCTGTTCATTGCACGAAATCGGCGACGTAACGTATCGCCTGCGGGTGGTTCATGACTGCGTCGTAGTCCTGTATATGCCTACGCAGTCCCTCGATAGAGTCGAGGCGTTCCATCACTATTCTCTGACTGGCGAGGTGCAGCGAGCATTCCATAAGGACATATTTAGGCGTTTGAGAGCCTAATTCATACCCGCAGCGGTCGGAGTCGACCTGCTTTATCTCGAAGAGGAAATGCCTCAGTCCGATCCTCATAGTGCGCATCTGGATAATTATAGAGGTCTGGGGCTTGCTCAGGCCCTCGTATATCCTTAAGACCTTCTTATTCGGCTTCGGAATCAGCCGTTTGATAGGCTTTCTAGCCCGTTGTCGCTCCTACCACTTCGTTTACTGCGCCTGGATTCTCCGGCGTACGTCAGTTTTGGCTGCAGCTGCAAGCCTAGTAATTGGCCGAGCGGCCAGCTCCCGCGGCCCTGCTGAGCTTAATTTAATCCCCTTTATCGCGGCCCGCTTGGCTGCCTCATCAGCTCGTTCATTCCCTTCTATACCGATATGCGCAGGGATCCAGCGCAGCTCTATATCTTCCTGCTGCAGGCCGCTGCCTCTCAGGGTCCTGATCCTCTCGTAGATAGCCCGTAGTACGTACTGGCCTGATGGTCGGCCGGGGTTCTGCACGGCTTGAATGGCCGCCTGGCTGTCTGAAAAGACCGTGATCGGGGCAGCCTCTGCCTACTTCAGGGCCATTTTGACCCCCTCTAACTCTCCTATGTACACAGTGGAGTCAGCCGCGGCTCCTAGGTATTTCTTGCGGACCTTCCCGGCCCGAATCGAGACTGTAGCGCCCTTTACGTGGCCGTTAAAGCCGCTACCGTTAGAGTACCAGATCTGCCTCCGGTTTTCCTGGCAGATCCTGTCGTGTTCCTGGACTGCGCTATCCGCTCCCTCGATCACGCAGTTCAGTGGGAGTTCCCACGGGGCGAGTACGTGTGCCTTTCGGGACTCCCACGTAGTTAAACTTCGGCCTCTGGTCCATAGGGGGCCCCCTTTCCTCCACCTCAGCGCCTCTATAGGGGACCACCCTGACCGTTTTATCTCTGCCGAGCTCCTCTTCTTGACTAATCCCCGGGGACAGGCCATAACTGGTCCGGTCTGTATCCGGATTGCGGTCTCCTCAATCATCTGTTGCATGTACAGGCGGACCGGAGGCAGAAATAGCTCTGCCCCTAAAGCTGCAGAAGCAGTATTTCTGAATGCTCCGCTAATAAGTACTGCCGCCCGCATCTAGATTCGTTCGAATTCGCTGATAGTCTTCTGCCGTTTTGCATACTTAGTACGCCCGCTGGTAGAGCTATACCATGCAGCAACCCCGTAGAGCATCTACGGAACTACTACGGCTAGATATATGGTTCGCATGTTCAGTAGGGACGTACCCCATGTAGACGCAGAGATGCTCCGTAGGGCTTCGAGGCTTCCGTTCGCCTTCGCTACCGCCTTAGCGCAGTGGGTAGTAAAGGAGAGAGTCTTATCGAGCCAGATTCCGAGGTATTTAGCGTATTTCACTGGCCGAATGACGTGGCCCGTTACGTGATCCTTTATTGGCAGCTGGTCGTGCCCCAGGGATTCAACAGGAACCTCCCAGGCGCTCCCGTCCTCCCGGTTAGCGTTGGTAAGGTCCTGTCCATTCCATGGTTCCGTGTAATCACAGGGGGTGTCTCTCTCGGCCCCGGGATCGGGATCCAGCGGGTTCCGGAAATGTATCAGTTCGAACTTATCCGGCGCGAACCTAGACGAATGCTGCCCGGACCATACAGCAGCCTTATCGAGTGCCCACTCCAGCAGACGCTGATTAGCTGCGTAAGACCCGGAGAGAGCGATCGTACAGGCATCGTCAATCCAGCCGAATGCCAGGGTTCTACCCGAGATCGGTGGCTGGATGCGCATACTCTCAACGGTATTGATTTCTAGTGCCCGAATAAGAGGCGTATTAAAGAGAAGGAAAAGGATCGGGGAGATAGGAAACCCCTGAGGGATTCCCGTGGGGGTAGAAATGATACGGCTCAGGTAACTAGGTAGTTAGAGCCGGGTCTGTCAGTCTGAAAGGAATGACTCTAGCTACCCGGCGAAGTGCCCTAGTCGTGCTATCTTCAAGTTGTGCAGCAGCCGGATATAAGAGACGTTATCGAAGGCCCCTGCTACGTTTAACAGGAGTATACTTACCTTCTGGTTTCGGCCCTAGCTATCAAAGATAGCATCTATCAGTAGTTGAATCAGGTAGTCGACAGAGATACCCTTCCGTTTCCCTAAATGTTCCCGTGGCAGTAGGCTATATTCTTCTAATGCGTAGGCTATGCGGGTGGCGATAGCCGCCTCTAGAATTTTACTAAATGTATTCAAGAGGGCAATAGGCCGGTAGGATTTGATAACTCGATAATCCGTTTGGCGGCCTTACGGAAGACAACCGTTATAGATTGCTGAAAGTATCCGGGGTTATGCCCGAGCCGGATACAGGCATTAAAGATATCCGTGAGCGCCTTCACGAAGGAGGGAACCTCACCTAGCCAGTGCCAAACCTTATTAGAGATACCGTCGGGCCCGGGAGCCTTGTCAGGAGGCGCCTTTCGGATGCAGCGTAGCACCTCGTGTTCAGCAAGATCCGGGAAGTCAAGTTGCTGAGGTAGGGAGGTCGCAGGGATATCGGAAAGGTCTGCGGGAGGTGGGTAGAGAAAGAAAGCCTTCTGGAATACTTCAACTTTCTGTTCTGCAGTTTCTGCGAGGCCGTTATCTGGTGTTTTCAGTGTTGGGACCAGTCCCAAAGGATTGGAAAATCGATAATAAGCAAGTCCATTTCCTAAGAGCTTTTGCCCAGCTTTAGCAAATACATCCCGCGTTATTCTGGCGTGGGGGGGGGGGGGGGGGGGGGGGGGGGGGGGGGGGGGGGGGGGGGGGGGGGGGGGGGGGGGGGGGGGGGGGGG